CCCGCCCCGCCCGGGCTCCCCGCCCCGGACTCCCGCCCCGACTCGCGTTCAGACCCGGCTGCGCTGCGCGGGCCGAGCTGCTGGGCGAGCGTCATGGCCGCTTCCAGGCAAGCCCAGGTCGGGGAGCTGCTGGCCGAGGCCCGCAGGGCCTTCCAGGAGGAGTTCGGGGCCGAGCCCGAGCTGGCCGTGTCGGCACCGGGCCGCGTCAACCTCATCGGGGAGCACACGGACTACAACCAGGGCCTGGTGCTGCCCATGGTGAGGGGCTGGGCGGGGGCCCCCAGCCTGGCCTGCTGCCCGGGCCGGGACAGGCCTCGGGGCGCGGGAGTGCGCTCCCAGCTGTAACCTCGGAGCTTATGGGACAAGCACGTGGTCAAGACCGGGCTGTTCCCGGTTGGAGGGAGGAAGTCGCCCCGCAGGGGTGGGGGGCCCGGAGGTGGGGGCCTCCGCTTCAGCTCGCCCTGTGTGGGCTGCTGGTCCTCGCCTTCCCCCTGGGGCCCCCTCAAAACGCAGAAGGGTGTGCTGGGGCTCTGGCCTCCACAGCGGGGTAAGCCAGCTCTCGCAGGCTGACCCAAGCTGGCAGTTTCCAGAGGAGGGAACTGAAGCCCAGAGAGGGCTAGTGATCTGCTCGAGGTCACACAGCTGCCTCTTGGTGGGGCCAGGACTAGCGTCAAACCTCCTGGTTCTCATTTGGGGGCTCTCCCCACCCCACTGGGCAGCCAGTGCCCTGCGCCTGAGGCCACCCCAAAGTAGAAAGATTCTTTTGGAAGCTGAGGCCACCCCAAAGTAGAAAGATTCTTTTGGAAGCGGGGCTGACCCCATTTTCCTGTTGAGCTGAGGGGGGCCCTGTTCCACTCTGCTGGAGCCCCACTCGGCCACAGTCCACATCTGCATTCCTAAAGTCCCCCGCAGGGCCCAGCCCTGGGCCTGTTCAGGTGGAGACACGCCCCTTCCTTCAGGTGGAGCCTCAAGGTCACGGCCCTTTCCTCAGAACCCCTTGCCTTCCGCCAGGCGCTGGAGCTCGTGACGGTGCTGGTGGGCAGCCCCCGGACAGACGGGCTCGTCTCCCTCCTCACCACCTCGGAGGGTGCGGACGAACCCCGGCGGCTGCAGTTCCCGCTGCCCACAGCCCAGCGGGCCCTGGAGCCCGGGACGCCGCTCTGGGCCAACTATGTCAAGGGAGTGATCCAGCACTACCCAGGTATGGCCTGGGCAGGGCCAGGGGCACGCAGGTGCCAGGGGCCAGGAACATCATCACTCAGCCGCACCCCTCTGCTCACTGAAAACCCCTTGGGCTGGGCTGGTAACGCCGATCCCCCCTTTGTACAGAGGAGGAGACTGAGGCCCAAGAGAGGGGCCAGAACCTGCCCATCACATGACTGGAGGGGCTAGGCTGCAAACCCCAGCTGGTTGACTGAACCCTAAATCCGAACTAGGAAAACGAGGCCCCAGGAACCTCAGTCGGCGGGTGGAGGGCCGTGGGCCGCTGCCGCGGCAGCCTCTGAAGTTGAGGCACACTGTCCGGCAGCAGCCAGCTCCTCACACCAGAGCACCTGCCTGTCCTGTGCCCACCGCCCGGACGGCCCATCTCACCATCGCCCCGCTTTCCCTGCAGCTGCCCCCCTCCCGGGCTTCAGTGCAGTGGTGGTGAGCTCCTTGCCGCTGGGGGGCGGGCTCTCCAGCTCGGCATCCCTGGAAGTGGCCACATACACCTTCCTGCAGCAGCTCTGCCCAGGTATCACCAAGCCCTGCCCCTGCCCTCCCGAGGCCTCCCGTGGTCAGCGCTTCTTCCCCTGATGTGGCTTCGGGAGGAGGGAGAGGCTCTCCCTGGAATGTCCTGGCCTTACTGCGACCACCCTCCTTCAGCTCGCCCCCACCCCCCGCCCTGCTGACCCTTCCCCAGGCCCTCTCCTAGACCCCACCCTCCCCACTGCACTCTGCTGTAGATTCCGGGCTGCTGGCCGCCCGGGCCCAGGTATGCCAGCGGGCCGAGCACAGCTTCGCAGGGGTGCCCTGTGGCATCATGGACCAGCTCATCGCACTGCTGGGGCAGAAGGGCCATGCACTGCTCATTGACTGCAGGTCAGGGCTCCCCTTGTCCCCCTCCACTAGGGAGCCCGGAGCTCCTGGCTGCAGCCTGCCCACTGCCCAGTGCGGCTGGCAGACACGCGGCCTTGTCCCCCCACTCCAACTCCACCCCAGGTCCCTGGAGACAAACCTGGTGCCACTGTTGGACCCCCGGCTGGGGGTGCTCATCACCAACTCCAACGTGCGCCACTCGCTGGGCTCCAGCGAGTACCCGGTGCGGCGGCGCCAGTGTGAAGAGGTGGCCCGAGCGCTGGGCAAGGAGAGCCTGCGGGACGTGCGGCTGGAGGAGCTGGAAGGTGAGCCGGGCCATGCCGGAGACACGGCCGCCCGCCCGCCGGGCGCCCCCGCTCCAGGACTTGCCGCTCTGCCCAGCCCCAGGGCGCTGCAGGGGCTGCTGGAAGCTCCCTGTTGTTCTTTTTCTATGGGAACTAAGCTTTCGTGCTGGGACATGGAGAAGGGGGCAGGGGAGAAAAGCAGCCGCTCCCAGGCCAGCTCAGAGCCGTGCCCCTGCGGCCCTCGGCCCGGACACTTCCTGCCCTGTCCTGTTTCTTTCCAAAGCTGAGCACGCGCGGTCCTGCCCCTGCCTTTCACGGGTCACGCCCAGGCTGTTCCTGTGCCCGAAGGCCCGTGAGCCCCACAGCCAGCGCCACGCACAGGTGCCCGAGGTGGACTGAGCCCTCTGGCGGCAGCCCACAGCCGTCCTGACCACGGGGGAAGCCTGTTACCTGCATGCCTGAGAGCGGGGTTGCAGGCCGAGAGAGGCCTGTGTTTCTAAGGCTTCTGATGCAGGTGGCCAGAAGCGGCGCCGGCCGGCCAGCCGGGAGGCCACATGGCGTTAACTGAGACGGAAGGCGGGCTCAGCCCCACGCGCTTCCCCAGGCCCTGGGGTCAGAGGTGTCCATTTCAGACTCACTGACCTTGGCTGAAGTTTTCGCACTTGACCACTCTGGCTGGCCTTCCTCTTCCCTCAGCCTTCGCGGTCCCTCGTGGGGGAGGGGGCTCCCCTCCTTCAGGAGCGCTGCCCCCTGCCTGCTGCCCCAGGGGCCCCCACCCACCCTCCTCCTCTTCCCCTCCTGCCCGGCCCCTCCCTCCGCCGCATCCACTTTCCCTCATCTTTCCCCTCATCGGTGCTCCCTGGCCCGCCCACGGGGAAGCACCTGTGTCTCATCTCTGCCCAGGCCCAGCCCTTCTCTGCCGGCCCCTCACACCTCCACTCCTCTGGCTCCCACTCCACCCTTGACCTTGACCTCGGCCTTCTTCCCAGGGCCTCTGGGGCCTGCAGCTGCCTGCCCAAGCTGGCCTGGGCGCTGTCCTCCGCCCACAGCCCCATGAGGGCTCAGGCTGCAGGCCCCACCTCCTCCTGGGCCGGGCCCTCCCTGACCCACAGCGGAGCGCATCATCCTTGGGCAGGCGTCTCCTGACTCCCCTGCCCTGTCACTCCTTCTCCCTTGTCACTCTTTTTTAAAAGGTTTTTTATTTTTGCATCCGGAACTGGGGTACGGGCCAGAGGTGCGGGGACAATGAGAGGATTCCCCAGAGACAGAGCGGGGAGCAGAACAGGCAGATGGACGAAGTGCACTGCTGAGGGGAGCAGCGGGGAGAAGGGAGAGGTGCCCTGGGGGCCCCGCCCCGGCCCGGGATCATGCTGCAGGGGCTGGTGATAACTTCCAGTGCTGCGCCTCACCCCCGCGGCGCCACCGGGGAGGCCCCCCGTCACTCCTGTTTGAGCCCCGTCACTGCTGAGTCCTCACTGTCCCCTCGGGGCCACCCTCCCTTGTCTCTGACCTCTGTCCTCTCCTCCTTTCCTCTCCCCCTTGGCCCCAGTTGGCCTCTGGACTGCTGCAGCGCTGCCTGCGGCCCTGGGCTGCCTCCCCCGCGGGGGCCTCTGAGGGGCACCTGGCACGGGTCCTGGGCAGCTGAGCTGGGCAGCGGCGGGCCCCTGGCGCCTGGCCCTGCCTCCTGGCTTTGCCGCCCCCTGGGCCTGGAGGCGCCATGCTGCTCCAGGGCACCCTGCTGCCTCAGCAGAGCCCCGCCCCGCCCCGCCCCCACCTCGGCCGGGGCCCCCACTGCTGCGTTGAGCACCCCGTGGGGGAGTCCGCTCACTGCCCGAGGAACCCCAGTTCAGAGGCCGCTGACCAGCTGGGGAGGGAGCCGCCCCACCCCGGCC